TGTTATTAACTGTTCAATGTTAAACACTGTGGGAAACTGACCATTAGTCTGTTATTAACTGTTCAATGTTAAACACTGTGGTAAACTGACCATTAGTCTGTTATTAACTGTTCAATGTTAAACACTGTGGTAAACTGACCATTAGTCTGTTATTCACTTCCATTTCCTAACCCTGACTCTCAGAGGAGAAGCATGATCTATGGTTTTAATAGCACTGCTTTCGTGCACCTCAGTCTCTCCCCCCCCCCCTCTATTTCTCTCTGCCTATCTCTCTCTCTCTCCCACCCTCTCTCTCTTTCTGAGAGGTATGATCAATGGTTGAAAAATAATACAGGTTTTAGTTTTATCACTTTATCCCTCTGTCTTTATTGGGTACAGAGGACAGTGGTATGATTGGTGGTTTTAATAACCCCCAGGTGCGTAGAGCAGTGGTATGATTGGTGGTTTTAATAACCCCCAGGTGCGTAGAGCAGTGGTATGATTGGTAGTTTTAATAACCCCCAGGTGCGGAGAGCAGTGGTATGATTGGTGGTTTTAATAACCCCCAGGTGCGGAGAGCAGTGGTATGATCCAGGGTTTCAACAGGACCGTCCTGAAGCACCTCCCTCGCTCTCTGCTGCTCATCCAGGTGGAGAGTGTTCTCATGGGGGCCGCCTTTCTCTCTATGATCATCGTAAGACACACACACACACACACACACACACACACACACACACAGGCAAAGACACGTGTGTACACACACACCTAAAATGATCATCCTAAAAACCTAGCTTTATTCCACCCAACAATCAATGCAACAACCCCCTCCGATTACCCAGTGTCCATCGCTTGCTTTCCCACAGTCCTTTGCTGTGTGTTTTTTACCCGTAGTTCCTGGCGCTGTGCGGGGCTGCGTACCGCCCTACAGAGGAGATAGATCTGAGGAGTATCGGCTGGGGGAACATCTTCCAGTTACCCTTTAAACACCTGAGAGACTACAGACTGAGACTCCTCATTCCGTTCTTCATCTACAGTGGACTGGACACACTCTTCTCTGTCACCGGACTCACTCTGGTAATCATTACAATGAATACTTTATTAACTGTAGCAGCTGCAGTCTGAATGTTGTTCATGTAACTTTTATGTACCTGCTGTGTCACTTTAAGTAGTGGGTAGACATAGATTCTGTTTCTGAGTGTAGCTATATTCATGATGTTCTCTCTCTCTCTCGCACTCTCTTGCTCGCGCCTTCTTTCTCTCCCTCTTTCTTTCTTTCTTTCTTTCTTTTTTTCTCTCTCTCTCTCTCGCTCTCGCTCTCGCTCGCTCTCGCTCTCGCTCTCTCTCTCGCTCTCGCTCTCTCTCGCTCTCGCTCTCTCTCTCTCTCTCTCTCTCTCTCCTCGTCCTCCGTCATCTCTCTCTTCTCTCTCTCTCCTCTTTCCTCTCATCTCTCTCCTCTCTCCTCTCCTCTCTCTCTCTCCGTTCTCGTCTCTCTTCTCATCCTCTCTCTCTCTCTCTCTCTCTCTCTCTCTCTCATCTCTCTCATCCTGTTCATCCCCCTCTTTTTCTCTTACGTTTTTCCTCTCCTCTCCTCTCCTCCTCTCCTCTCCTCTCCGCTCCTCTCCTCTCCTCTCCTCTCGCTGTCCTGCGTCCTCTCCTCTCCTCTCCTCTCCTCTCCTCTCCTCTCCTCTCCTCTCCTCTCCTCCCCTCCCCTCCCCTCCCAGTCCTATGGTGTGTGTACAGTGGGTCTGGAGTGGCTGTATCTCCTGGTGATGGTCTATGGTCTGTCCTGTTCCCTGTTCTCCTGCCTGGGCCTGTCCCTCCTCAGACTGCCACGCTACGTCTCTCTGCTAGGGGGCGCTGTGATCCATGGTCCTCTGCTGGTGTTCCTGCTGTTCTGGTCCCCGGCTCCACGCTCACCTGATCAACTGCCTTACCTGCTGGTGGTGACCGCCCTCTGGGGAATGGGGTCTGCATTGAATAAGACTGGACTCAGCAGTGAGTTTTAGTACTATGATTAGACGCACACAGACACAGACACACACACAGACAGGTAGACAGAGGACTCTTTTATTTCCCAGTTGGAAAAGTATTGTTCTTTCCCAGTTCAGCCTAGACTTCATCATTTCCAACATTTATGTCTCCCCTCTCTCTCCCATATCTTCCATCTCCCTCTCTCGCTCGCTCTACCCCCCCCCCCCCCCTCCACCCCACCCTCTCTCTCTACCCCCCTCTCCATTGCACCTCCCTTCTCTCTCTCTCTACCCCCTTCTCCAACACACCTTCCCTCTCTCTCTCTCTCTCTCTCTACCCCCCTCTCCACTGTCCCCCCCTCTCTCTCTCTAACTCCCTCTCCACTGTCCCACCCCTCTACCCCCCTCTCCGCCGCACCTCCCCTCTCTCTCTTTCTACCCCCCTCTCCACTACCCCCCCCTCTACCCCCTCTCCACTGTCCCCCCCCCTCTACCCCCCACTCCACTGTCCCCCCCCCCCCCTCTCTCTCTACCCCCCATTCCACTGTCCCCTCTCTCTCCCCCGTCTCTGTCTCTCTCTCCATCTCTCTCAGTCCTCCTGGGTATGTTGTATGAGGATAAAGAGAGACTGGACTTTGTCTACACCATCTACCACTGGTGGCAGGCTATCGCCATCTTCATAGTCTACCTGTGGACTGGACTCATCATGAGGGTATGTGTGTCCGTGTGTGTCCGTGTGAGAGAAAAAGTGTAAAAATAATTTAGTTAAAGCGTATATTTCACTCTCTCTCTTCTTCTCTTTCTCTCTCTCATTCCTGGTTCCTCCTCCTCAGGCCAAACTCTCCATCCTATTGGTCATCCTTCTAGTGGCGTGCTTCTGCTATTGGACGATGGAGCGACGCCTGGCCAAGAACATGCCTTTCAGACTGCCTCGCATTCCCCGCCCCAAACACAAGGTAACCAATCACAATCTGTTCACTTTTTGCTATGTTTTTGCATTTTCTTCCCCCTATCCAATGGTATTAAAATATTATGAAAATACCATTGGCTGGAGAAAAAATAGCAAATATCACATATCACCATCACTAGCAATGCGATAAAGACAAGCAAAACAGAACATCGACATTAAACAGTCATTGTTTAAAGTTTGGCATTGGCAATAAAGACAATTAAAGAGTGATATCTTCAATAATGACACAAAGTCAACAATTGACATGTTTGGTCTGTGATGTCATGGAATGTTGACCGTGTCACTTCTTCCTCAGGTCAAAGGTTATCGTTACCTGGAGGAGGAAAACTCAGACGAGTCGAACACAGAGGAGAGTGATGAGGATGAGGATGAAGAGCAGCAGGAGGAGGTGATCAGGGAGGACGTCGGCGGAGACGCAGGGTCGCAGGGCTCTGATTCCACCAGGGAGAGGAGGGGAGGGGCCAGGGGTCAGCGCAGGAGGCGAGACGATGATTACGAGCAAGCGGGGGAGAGGGAGGAGAGAGCGAAGGAGGGATAGAGAGAGAGAGAGTGAGATAGCGAGAGAGGGAGGAGATTTAAAGAAGAGAGTGAGAGAGAGAGAGAGAAAATGTGTTCCTTTTCATTCCCTTCTGCATTAGATCCTCTAGGTATCCTCTAGGTATCCTCTAGGTATCCTCTAGGTGTCCTCTAGGTGTCCTCTAGGTGTCCTCTAGGTATCCTCTAGGTAGCCCCTAGGTGTCCTCTAGGTGTCCTCTAGGTTTCCTCTAGGTTTCCTATAGGTGTCCTCTAGGTATCCTCTAGGTTTCCTCTAGGTGTCCTCTAGGTGTCCTCTAGGTGTCCTCTAGGTGTCCTCTAGGTGTCCTCTAGGTGTCCTCTAGGTGTCCTCTAGGTAGCCTCTAGGTGTCCTCTAGGTTTCCTCTAGGTGTCCTCTAGGTGTCCTCTAGGTATCCTCTAGGTAGCCTCTAGGTGTCCTCTAGGTGTCCTCTAGGTTTCCTCTAGGTGTCCTCTAGGTGTCCTCTAGGTGTCCTCTAGGTGTCCTCTAGGTGTCCTCTAGGTGTCCTCTAGGTGTCCTCTAGGTGTCCTCTAGGTATCCTCTAGGTGTCCTCTAGGTGTCCTCTAGGTGTCCTCTAGGTAGCCTCTAGGTGTCCTCTAGGTACTTTCCCCAGTCCAACTCTCTCACATCAGTGCAAATTATGGAAAGGAGTCGAATCAGAAGAGGAGAGAAAATGGGTGTGTCTCAAATGTAACCCAATTCCCTTCATAGTGCCCTACTTTTACATTTACATTTTAGTCATTTAGCAGACACTCTTATCCAGAGTGACTTACAGTTAGTGAGTGCATACATTTTTCATACTTTTGACCCCGAACTTTAACCCTGGTCAAAAGTAGTGCACTAAGGGGCCTCCCGAGTGGGGCAGCCGACCGCGACAGGGAGACCCATGGGGCGGCGCACAATTGGCCCAGCGTCGTCCAGGGATATTCTTGTCCCATCGCACACTAGCAACTCCTGTGTCGGGCCGGGCAGTGCACGCTGACGCGGTCGCCAGGTGTACGGTGTTTCCTCTGACACATTGGTGCGGCTGGCTTCTGGGTTAAGCGGGCATTGTGTCAAGAAGCAGTGCGGCTCGGCAGGGTTGTGTTTCGGAGGACGCATGGCTCTCGACCTTCACCTCTCCCAAGTCTGTACGGGAGTTGCAGCGATGGGACAAGACTGTAACTACCAATTGGATACCATGAAATTGGGGTAAAAAAAAACTATCCTAATAATGTAGTGCACTATGTTGGGAATAGGGTCCGAGTGGCACAGTGGTTTAAGGCTGCATCTCAGTGCTTGAGGCGTCACTACAGACCCCCTGGTACGAATCCAGGCTGTATCACAACCGGCCGTGATTGGGAGTCCCATAGGGCGGCGCACAATTGGCCCAGCGTCGTCCGGGTTTGGCCGGTGTAGGCCGTCATTGTAAATAAGAATTTGTTCTTAACTGACTTGCCTAGTTAAATAAAGGTTAAATAAAAATAAATAAATAAAATATATTTGTAACGCAGACAATACTGTATGTTCAGGCTATTGACACGCACCTAGAGGGGGATTGGTATATATAGATAACAAACCCACTCATAATTGAGGAGGTTCATCCACAGGAGGGTAGAACAGGACGCTACTGGAGGAAAGAGAAGAGAGGGGGATTTTACACAGGAAGAAAGAGGACGAAGAGAGGAGAGGAATTCAGTTTACAAGGTTTCTCATAACACAACTGAAAAAGGGAAGTAGTTATTTACTCCACTTCAAATATAAACCATTTTCTCTCAGCTGCATGATCACATGGGTTATGACCCAAATGACACGCTATTCCCTATATAGTGCACTAATAGGGCTCTGGTCAAAAGTAGTGTACTATATAGGGAATAGGGTGCCATTTGGGAAGCACACATACTGTATAGACAACTGAAACATATGTGAAGTTAGGTACGTCACAGGTACTTTTGACAGGGTACATACAGGGCTCTGGTCAAAAGTAGTGCACTATATACGGAATAAGGTGCCATTTGGGATGCAGGCCACAGTTTTTGTATTTCAACAGTATCACTGTATTGGGTTGTTAGTGAGCTGTGTTGTCATGGTTCCTAGCTCAGGTGTTTTGAGTGGCCTACATTTTATGTGGTGTTTTCTGTAAGGAATTTATTCAATCAAAAAAAATGTTTTAATGTATATAGAAAAATATAGAAAAATATTGATTGTAATTGTTGTTTTTTATGACTGAAGTGAGTTTTGAAGTTGTTTTCTGAGTATAAAGCTGGTTTTGTGCCTCTTGATGTGGGTGTTCTGTTATCGAAGACCAAACTATATCACCATGGAAACTTAGTTCAGAAAAGTTAACTCCTAATAAAGTCACTCCTACACTGTAGTAAAGCCGGAAATATATATAATTCACAAAAAAACATTCACTTATTTTATAAGACTTGATCTTTATTTGGATCCCCATGAGCTGACGCCATGACGACAGATAAATGTGTATACAAGCATATAGTCAACACACACACAAATACATTTAAAGGTACACTGTGAGTGTTAAATGCCCTATTGTTTTACTTACATTTTGGTTTGAGAGGTGACTGGTTCATATACACATATGATATAATATTAATCAATTTCTTATCTCATTAAACCACACAACCCTTAGTTTTAGGCTAATAATATAATATTTAAGTCATGGGTGTGAGGAGGTGTGCCCCTTTGTCTGTGCTCCAATTAGGTCATTTCTGGATTATTTAAGGCAGCGTTTCCACATTTTCACATTTTAGTTTTAACCTTAAACTTGCACACCTGGTTCAATTAGTCAAAGGCTTGATGATTAGTTGACTAATTGCTGATTTAAAGGACCTCTTTTGGCTCAAGGGCAGCCCCCCAGAGGCAAAAGTGATGTATGGTAGAATAGATGTTTAGTACACAGTACAGATGTACAGTATAATACAAGTATACTGTATGTAGTAGATGCATAGTAGATATATGTGTATGAAGACATATACATGTGTATAGTACAGCTCCATTTTGTTGTATTCCCAAACTCACAATGTATCCCTTTTTCTGCACACCAGTCAGTGAAGCAGGGAAGTCAAGCAGGTAAGTGAAGCAGGTAAGTTCCCACTTCATTTGTTTCACGGTGTTCTGTTCGTTTTCTCTGAAATTCATCTAAACGCTTATGTTCTACATCGGCCTAACTATTGTTGATGTAGCCATTTTATCAAGGGGGAAAAGGCGCAATGATATCAAGGTGAAAAGGCGCAATGATATCAAGGTGAAAAGGCACAATGATATCAAGGTGAAAAGGCGCAATGTCATAGTCATGGTATATGGTCTCACATACACACGGCTGGATGCCAATCAGCATCCAGTATCCAAACTACCCAGTTTATGGTACAATATATAGGTAATGTATACAGATGTATAGTACCCAAGAAGAACACAGGACCCAGGTTTGAGGTGAGCATGAGTTTATTGGTCAGTGATGATCTTCCTCCTCCTCCTCCTCCTCTCTCACCACTATTGTCTATTGCTGTTATTGGTGCTGGTGAACCAAAGTCCCTGATGTATATCTGTGATATATACTATAATCTGATAGAGTGTTATGACCGTTGTTACACTATAACGGTCCTCTATAACATGATGTGTTACGGTGATGACTTAACTCATCTCACGCTGCTGTTGACGTCACGGCACTGATATACGAGTCGCCTCTCGTAGTAATAACACCCTGTTGTATTACCAACCAGAGTATTTGAGGAAATTAGTGACGGAGTTGAGATGTGGATGTGTGAGTAGAAACTGCGTTACGGTTCTGACTGACTGGGTTTGTGGTGGTCGTGCTGTGACAAGGCCCCGGTAGATCCAGGCCTAGGCCGAAGCCTGGGGCTCTGGTAGGGGTCCGGTCCGCTCTGTGCCCTCCTAGTGCTGGATACGGCGGATAGACTGGATCTGGGGGGTCTGGCAGTGGGAACCCCAGTTCTTCCAGTGCTGGTAGTCTCCACTGTGTCTCTCACACTCCATGATGTACTGCTGGCCCCTGTAGCCAGGGAACTGGTAGCACACAAAGCTGTGGGGAGAGAAGGAGAGAGAGGGAGGAGGGGGAGAGTGATGGAGGGTGAGGAAGGGGAGAGTGATGGAGGGAGAGAGGTAGAGAGAGGGGGAGAGGGATGGAGGGGAGGGTGGAGAGAGAGGAGTAGGCGTGAGACGAGAGAGGAGGGCGAGCTCGAGGGCGAGCGAGGGTGCGGAAGGGGAGGGAGAGGGAGCGCGGGGGAGGGAGTGCGAGACGCGGGAGGAGGGGTGGGGGAGGAGCGGTTTGGCGGAGCGCGGAGTGGCGAGGGAGGGCGCGATGAGGGGGCGGAGCGAGGTGGGCAATGCGGGGTGGGGCGAGGGATGGAGGGGCGGAGTGCGGGGGAGCGCGGGAGGTGGGGGAGGGTGCGGGAGGGATGGAGGGAGGGGGAGAGGAGGGAGGGAGGCGGGCGGAGTGCTGGAGGCGGGGAGGGAGGCGGAGAGAGGGATGGAGGAGGAAGGAGGAGTGGGGGGGTGGAGGGGGGGAGAGCGGGATGCGGGCGAGAGGGGTGGAGGGGAGAGCGTGGAGCGGCGAGCGCTGGAGAGGAGAGAGTGAGGAGGGGAGAGGGTCGCAGGGGCGAGGAGGGGGAGCGGCCTCCGAGGGTGGCGTGGGCTGAGGGGGAGAGAGAAGGAGAGAGAGGGTGAGGAGGGGGAGAGGGATGGAGAGAGAGAGGGTGATAGGTGGGGTGCAGAGGGGGAGGAGGGACATAAGGGGGAAAGACATGTTTGGCTTAGAGTGGAGTTTCTCTTGTCACCTTGAATAGAATTGTGTCACTCACTGTTTTGCTTTAATTGTCTCACTATAGCAAGTTTGGAGTGTGTTTGTGCCAGTGGAGGCTGCTGAGGGGAGAACGGCTCATAATAACGGCTGGAACGGAGTCAATGGAATGGCATCAAACACATAGAAACCATGTGTTTGATACCATTCCACGCATTCCTTTCCAGCCGTTACCATGAGCCCTTCCTCCCCAATTAAGGTGCCACCAACCTCCTGTGGTTTGTGCCATAGTGTTTTGTACAGTATCTGTGAGTGAGTGTGTGCTTGTGTTTTAATGTTGACTTACGCGCCACACTGCACGTGCATGGATCCGACCTCGGGCATGCACCAGCCCATGGCCCTCAGAGAGGGATAATCATCACACAGCTCAGCACTGCGGCCCATGAAGTTCTCTCTCTCAAAGATCTGCATACGACTGTTCTGGTGGGACTGGGAGGGGGAAGGAGGAGAGAGGAGAGAGGGAGAGAGAGAGGATAAAGGGAGAGAAAGGGAGAGTGGGAGGGTTAAACACACACCAGGACACAATCTCACTCTGTTTCCTTTTCGGTTTCTCTCTCACATACTCTGTTTATCCTTATCTGTCTGTCTTCTATCCACACTAACAGAATACTGACCCACTGTCTTCTATCCACACTAACAGAATACTGACCCACTGTCTTCTATCCACACTAACATAATACTGACCCACTCTCTTCTATCCACACTAACATAGAATACTGACCCACTGTCTTCTATCCACACTAACAGAATACTGACCCACTGTCTTCTATCCACACTAACAGAATACTGACCCACTGTCTTCTATCCACACTAACAGAATACTGACCCACTGTCTTCTATCCACACTAACATAGAATACTGACCCACTGTCTTCTATCCACACTAACAGAATACTGACCCACTGTCTTCTATCCACACTAACAGAATACTGACCCACTGTCTTCTATCCACACTAACATAGAATACTGACCCACTGTCATCTATCCACACTAACAGAATACTGACCCACTCTCTTCTATCCACACTAACATAGAATACTGACCCACTGTCTTCTATCCACACTAACATAGAATACTGACCCACTGTCTTCTATCCACACTAACAGAATACTGACCCACTGTCTTCTATCCACACTAACAGAATACTGACCCACTGTCTTCTATCCACACTAACAGAATACTGACCCACTGTCTTCTATCCACACTAACATAGAATACTGACCCACTGTCTTCTATCCACGCTAACATAGAATACTGACCCACTGTTTTCTATCCACACTAACAGAATACTGACCCACTGTCTTCTATCCACACTAACAGAATACTGACCCACTGTCTTCTATCCACACTAATATAGAGCTTTTCTATCTATCCATCTCTCGCTGTATTTTTCTCACACACACACACACACACACACACACGCACACACACACACACACACACACTACTCACAGCGCAGTAGATGGGGCGCAGGGACATGAGGCGCTCCACGTGGTAGGACAGGGAGCCGCTGTAGGAGTCCCAGTGGGGATACTCTCCCCTCTCCAGGATGAACTGCTGGCCCTGGAAGTCATGGTGCTCAAAGCCCACCCAGCTACACGGGACGGAGAGGGGAAGGCCAGAGAGAGAGAGAGTTACTGACATGTTCCCCCCCTGGTAGTCAATGATTGACCATGCATGACAACAGGCTACAGCACAGAGACTCATACCCCCCACCCACCCACACACCAATACCCCCACTCACACCCACACACCAATACCCCCACCCACACACCCACACACCAATACCCCCACTCACACACACACACACACACACACACACACACACACACACACACACACACACACACACACCCTCCACAGACAACCAGGGTTGTAAGAGACTCACGCTCCACTCTCCACTCTGATAGAGCGGATGTTGTCCAGACCACAGTCATGGATGTTACAGCACTCAGAGGTAAACTCCTGGCACTTGCCCTGGAAGTGTTCCTGCTCAAACACAGTCACCTACAGAGATAGATAGATAGATAGATAGATAGATAGATAGATAGATAGATAGATAGATAGATAGATAGATAGATAGATAGATAGATAGATAGATAGATAGATAGATAGATAGATAGATAGATAGATAGATAGAAATTAGATGGATTGATACAGATTAGTGTGTTTATGTCAATCATATCATTGATTATTTCAATATGTGTGTGCACATGTACATAAAATACACCTGTGTGTGTGTGTGAGATCACCTTGAAAAAAGGGGCCATACCCATGCCAGGGAAAAAACATGGGGGAGGTCATGTGGGTTTTAGTAGCTCTATTCATGTCTATATAGAGAGAGAGAGAGAGAGGGGAGGGGAGGGGAGAGAGAGGGGGGAGAGAGGGAAGTTCATCATTTAAATTAGGACAGATTGCAATGCCATTAATTAAAATCCTTTAATACTGTCTGGTTATGCATTCCCAGTAATCTATGAAATATGTTAGACACACTGCTAGAAATGCCCTCATTTTCGAGATATGTCATGTAGATATTATTTCCATTCGTATGTGTGCCATTCCAGCTGTATCCAAAATAGGCTATCCACAACCAACTAACATTACTGCCAGCATCCACAAACTCCAGTAAATGTAATGGTATCGTAGTGTATAAATTGTGACAATTCTTACAAAAAGTTTTTAAAAGTTTGTTTAAACTGGTTAAAACCGTTTTATAAAATGTACTGGTGCATAAGCCATCACCAAATCCAATAAGTAACCGTTATCAATTTCTAATAACTGCCTATATTTGTTCCATCACTAATTTAAAAAACATTTTTTAAATATATTACCATAAACGAACCCTATTTGGACTAGGCCTACAATGAAATGTTTCTCCAATTATGAGCGTTCCTCTCTCAGAAACTCGAAAAAACTGTTATTCTGGTGGGTAGCCTAGGCTTAAATCCGTTATGTTGGAACACCATGGACTATTCGGTTCAACCAGGAACGGGGGCTTACCTGGTTCGTCTCCTCTCTTCTCTCACGCGCCAATCCTTTTACATAGAGTTTTGTGAGAATCTGCCTCTTCCATTTTATACCGGTGTCCACGGTGGCCCGCGCGTCTCCACCAGCGACACGGTGCGTGCGTGTGCGCGTTTCATAATGTCTGTCTGAGTGAGGTGTGAGTGAGTTGGGGGTAAAGTGAGCGCGCCCGTGTGCTTGTTTCTGTGTGGGCACCCCTCTGTGTGCCCGTGCGTAAATGTGTCCTATGGGTGCGCGCGGCCGTGTGAGCGATACACAAGTCCCCCCACCACTCACTCACTCTCTCTCTCTCTCTCTCTCTCTCTCTCTCTCTCTCTCTCTCTCTCTCTCTCTCTCTCTCTCTCTCTCTCTCTCTCGCCCTCCCTTTTTTGTGTTTCCTATGTGGTCGGGTGTGCACCTTGTTGACTCGGCAGATACTATAGTAGCGACCCCGTTGTCGTTCTAAGCCGGTTGAATGCATGGTGGGTCAGGGACAGTGCTGTTCGCGGGCCGTTCGGAGTGAATGGGGGGCCCAGTGTTGGGCCGAACGCCGTTATATTCGTATAGGTCAGCAGTGCTATCGTATAGCGTAACAATGGCCGGGCTATAGGTCGAGAATGACAAGAATTTACCTCTCCCGTGCTGTGGCTAGAGTAAAACATTTAGGGAAATTATGGAAACTAGAAATCAGTGTCAAAGAGTGGGACTTCAGTTTAAGGTAGAGATAATGTTATGACATAGCTGCCTTGACTTCAATCAAATTAGGTGTCAGTCTCGATACAAAATAATATACTAACCCTAGCCTATATAGCCTAGAAGCAACATGTCAAGTCATAGCCATTAAACACATCTATATCAAATTGGAGTATAGCAGTAGGTTATAGCAGTAGGCTAGGCTACATTAGAGATGTAAGGCCAGTAGAAGAATGTTCTGTTTCTCCAAGACCATAGTACTGGTGAGTTCACACAGTTGTCATGGTAACCCCCCCTACACACACAGTTCCTGCTGACCTCATTTAGCTCTTGACCTCTGAGCTAGAAGATTTGAGGAGGTTATGGCAGCCGACTGTTTACACACACACACACACAAACACACAAACACACAAACACACTTCATATTTGGTATAATGCATGTGCAGCAACATTATTTGAACAGTGAAGTTGCAGATTTTAAACAGAACATTATGGTAGGATTTCCACATTACATACCGGAGAGACTAGAGAGATATTACTATACTGGTTACACCCATCATACCAGAGGGACTAGGTAGGTAGAGAGATATTACCATACTGGTTACACCCATCATACCAGAGGGACTAGGTAGGTAGAGAGATATTACCATACTGGTTACACCCATCATACCAGAGGGACTAGGTAGGTAGAGAGATATTACCATACTGGTTACACCCATCATACCAGAGGGACTAGGTAGGTAGAGAGATAATACCATACTGGTTACACCCATCATACCAGAGGGACTAGGTAGGTAGAGAGATATTACCATAGTGGTTAAACCCATCATACCAGAGGGTCCAATCTTTTCAGATCTATGGAAAGGGTCTAGGAGTCCATTTTGGACTATACATCATATCACTATATTCTAAACCTGGGTCATGTTCAGGAGGGTGCAACATTCTAAAACGTTGCACATTTTAAAAATCATATTGATGAAGGCCGAAAAATTGACGGCCGTAATGTCATGATGTCAACTTTAACTAGATAGATAAAAGCCTCAAGAGCGAGAGTGGCGAGCCTATTTCTTTCTGAATGTTGCAGATAGAAATGTCTTGTAACTGACATGATTGCCTGTCCTATGTAACTGCCATGATTCCCTGTCCTATGTGACTGAGTGGCATGTTTATTCTACATAATAATTATAATTGGTCATTTAGCAGACGCTCTTATCCAGAGCGACTTACAGGAGCAATTAGGGTTAAGTGCCTTGCTCAAGGGCACATCGACAGATTTTTCACCTAGTCGGCTCGGGGATTAGAACCAGCGACCTTTCGGTTACTGGCACAACGCTCTTCACCACTAAGCTACCTGCCGCCCTACATGATATATCTCCATCTGAAAGTGCTGTAGTGCGCCGTCCTACTTAAACATTGCAGATAGAAATGCCTTTTATAGAGCTGATGTGATTCCCTAGTCCAGGGGTTCCCAAACTTTTACTGCACACGTCCCCGAATTGACCCTAGAAAATGGAGGGGATCACACTTGGAAATGTTTTATTCCCTAGTTAATGCTGTGTGTTCATATCATAGACAGAGTTAGAGGACTCAACTTGGATATAACCCGTTTTAGCATGGACGTTGCTACTGAGGGATTCCACCATTTTAAAGTAGTCAACTGGGTGGGGATTCCTATGGGTTGGGAGTGATCAGAGCATTGTCTTCTTCTTCTTCACATTGGGTTGCCTATGGTTTGTTAATGGCTTTTAGCTATATCACCGCCATCTAGTGGCCACAAAATGAATGACACACAAGATTTGGTTCAGGACTCCAGCACACTTTTTTTCAAACAAAAAGGAGAACATTTACTATTTTCAATGGAGATGCCCGTGCTATCACAGACACCATAATGGCACAGATACAAAGATGATACCTCTTTCCATCTCTATGGTTCATATTCACTCGATGTTAGGTCCTGCAGGCTGTCCCAACACATAATAATGACATGAAAACATATTCTAGTGCAAAAGGACCTTAGTTGACACTAAAAGGTTGTACTCTATACTCATCTGAAGGGGAAAAAGTTGTTAATTTGTCTGATAAGATTACATATTTTCTCAGGGGACCCCATTTCAGTTTCAGGGGATCTCACATGTGGTCCTGACCCCAAGTCTGGGAACCACTGCCCTAATCCCGATTCTATGTGACTGTTCTACTTGATACCATTTCTGAATCTGAACATTCTGTTGCGTGGCATCCCGCTGAACACGGCCCCTTGTTCAATGGCCCCACAGACTCCTCCCATCCAGCCATGCTACTGTTCAGAAGTGATGAGTGCACAGATCCAAAATGGCTACCGTACACGCCATGAACCTCTGGTATGAGGTGGAAACTGTGGCTGTGTCCCAAATGGCACCCTATTCCCTACGGACCCTGGTCAAAAAAATAGAGCACTAAAATAGGGAATATAGTGCCATTTAGGATTCAGACACTGTCTCTAGGCACAGATCTAGGATCAGCGTACCCTCTCCATGTTCTAACCTGTATCGTTAGGATGGAAAACATAAAAACCGACCTTAGATCAGCATTTAAGGGTTAATTGGTCCTACTCTATGTCACAGAGCGGTGAGGTATTTTGTATATTCGGCTTGTTGGTGTAGTTCAGCGGTGTCTAACATGAAGCCCGCTACCTCCTTTTTATCACATGTAAAATAATATACAATTTAAACATTAACATTTTGATGTCGGTGAGATGGCAATACACTCAATAGCTGTACATTTACTGGCGATGCTACTTGGGCAGTGAGGTGATTTCTATACTGTGGGTCAAGGTTAGGGTTACAGTTAGGTTTGGAATTGAATTGAATACGTAGGGTTAGAACCAGAAGAGGTTGGTGGCATCTTAATTGGGGAGGATGGGCTCGTGGTAACGACAGGAGAGCGGTATCAGTGGAATGCTATCAGATACATCAAACTCATCGTTTCCAGGTGTTTGATGTTTGATTCCATTTGCTCCGTTCCGGCCGTTATTATGAGCC